CAAACTCTTTCTTAATTTTAGTAAGTTTTCTCAGTTAATAATAAATAAATTATATAGAAGACCCTATCCACTTTATCTGAGCATACGGTTGTAAATGACGTGAAATCTTCATTATCGAATTATGAAAAAATCTTATTTGTCTAACGATCAAGGATGTGCAGACAAGACACACGTAAAGAATAAGGATATGGATGAAAACAAAGTCTACACAAATACAGTTTTTTTTAGAAAAATATTAACATATATGTTAAATTATTCAAAAGTTTGCCACTTGTTCTAGAAGTTCGTATATATTTCAAATATTATGACTCTTAAAAATTATGAAAAGAAAAAAGAATGTTAGTTGCATCTATCGTCATGAAAAAAAACATTCTTACCTCTCTTAATGAATATATATAATAGACGATCGAATAATATTTCTTTATATATGAAGAGAAAAAAAATTGTTTTTTTTGTATGGCATAATTCTATCTGAATCTTGAAATCAAAATCGCTTTTCCATTTTGCAATTATACCTATCGATCACATATAAATCAAGTAATATGGAGATTTCCGGTGTAATTATTTATTGCTAAATTAAAAATGAAAAAAATACAAAGTTTAAGAAAACGTGGAATAGGTGATGGTGTGAATGAGGGTGAACTTTTGTGGATTGTGTATATATTTACAGTGATACACTAAACTAATATATTCTGAAATATGCTGTTACAAGTCGTAAATTGTCTTTACAAAGCAATAGATACCGATCAACAGGAACATATCAGGTGTCATACAGAAAGCATCCGATATCCGATGATCCACTGGTTGTCGTGGTACTGGTTGCATATTTGCGGAGCAAATAATCGGATAGTTGGCCATCGTCGCGATACCGCATTGATTATTTTGATTTCGTGTCATTTTCATATAACCTTGTTCACCCCAACTTGTACCCCAGCTGAAACCATGATAGAAATAGTCAATTTATTAATAAACTATCTAAAACATAATAATTACCTGTTTTTTACTAGCCAATAGTCATCGTCTCCTTCTGTACCATAACCAATAAGGAGAACAGCATGATCAAGATCAAGCAGAGTTTTTAAGCAAGTGGGTTCATTGTAGACTGTTAAAAAATTGTACAAAATGATAATTGGAAATGAAAGAAGAAAATTACATACCACCAGATTCATATAAGTGAAATGAGGAATGACTAGCATCAATTGAGACTGATATTGGTCCAATAGTAGCAACGGCTTGTTGGAGAGCTGCTTCATCTCCTGATGCTAACTCAACGAAGTCACAGACTTTGACAGCAATGTCTGTTGCATTGAACATACATGTCTGGTCAGCCGCTTTATATGAATATGAACTTTCTGTTTCAATGCCGCCTGCATTGATGACATATACAAAGGCATCATCCGTGAAATCACCGATACAACCATATTCTCCGTCTCCACCAGAGCAATCAACTAATTGTTGTTCGGAAAGGGAAAGAAGCGTGCCCGTTTTAATAGCATATGCACTTTCAATTGCGCCAGCGGCTGAGAATGCCCAACATGATCCGCAAGCACCTTGATCTTTAACTGCTTCAACAACATTCTGGTTACGCCAGTCTAGCAAGAAAACAGTCAAATACTTTCATAAGTCATAGTTTCAGTTCATTGTAATACATACCAACAGAGTCTGGTAGACTAGCAGTCGAATTGGATACCAAAACTTGACGAACTTGACTGTATTTTGTTTCCGTCTTTCCATTAAAACCAGTATATTTTTGCATAAATTCATTGACAGTGTATTTTTGCACAAATTCATTGACAGTCGATTTGTGAAACAAATTATAGATAAAACTGCACCTGAAGATTACAATATGAAAGCTTACTAAGTCTCCATGTTGATTCATTCCAAGTCGATAAGTATGAACGCCAAGATCAGCTTGAAGATTGTGTTCTTCGATCATCTTCAAATTATTTTCCCACACAGTGCGCCTACAATTTGCGAGTTTGATAATCAATTAGAAATAGAAATAAAAAACAATATACTATACCGAACAAGTTCTTCGGCATTAGAATAGTTTTTTCTGTGTTTATTTTTCCATAACTTCCATTGCTGATTATGTGTTTTGTTATATGCCAATGCACAACCGGAACTGAGTATAACAATTGTAATAATCGAAATTAATTGCATCTAAATATTTTGATTTATAACTGAAGATATCTCTTCTGGAAAATTTAATAGATGCACAAACGTTGAATCATTCAGATAACTTCTCTCAACTACTAAACTGCAACTATCTAACCTCTTTGAGGGTGGATGTCGCTGTCTTTGAGTGTGGATGGGAATAGAAAGAGTACACACCCACACCCACCCTCAAGATGGTTGAAATACCTGTTCGTATTAAGGGCATGCGCTGTATAATTAACATACCTGTCAAAATTTGAGCTCGACTGTCTTGAGTGAATAGAGTGTTGAAAATATTTTTGAATGCTTTTTATGCATCTTTTTCTGTTTATATATACTGTTCCAGCTGAAAATTTGTTCGACCTTCTCCGCAGTTGTGATTACTCATACTTTCTCTTCATTTCACCAAGCTGGAAAAAAACCTTTGACCACTTGACATCATAGACGTTGTTTGTTTTTTGATTCATATGCGTAATATGAATAATGTCGATGCAAAAATACAAGTAACGCTCATCCGAGGACTTGCGCAGCCTGTGGGTGAGAGTGATAGTGAGGATGTGAATTTAGGTGTGAATGTGGGTGAAGGTGTAGGTGTAGGTATGGGTGTGGGTGTGGGTGTGGGTGTGGGTGTGCGTGTGGGTGTGAGTGTGGGTGTGGGTGTGGGTGTGGGTGTGATATGAAGATGGTATTTATACTCACACCCACACCCACACCCACACCCACACCCACACCCACACCCACACCCACACCCACACCCACACCCACACCCACACCCCGGATGGTGTCGAAACATGATTACGCGACAATCCGATTATTTCGTCGCAAATGCAGTGCAGCTCCGATCATTTTCCCACAGTGGTGCGCAACTGCGATTATTTTATTGCAGCGGCGCGCAATTGCGTCGCAATTTCATCGCAATCGAAAACATGAGATGAATTGGAAATTGCGAGCTTCGTAATTTTCTTTTTACTCAACGCTTTTTATTAAAAGTAACTGTCAGAGTCAATGTTTTTCTTTCATAAGCAAGAGAGTATCAATGCTCTGTTTATTCTCCTGTTCTTTTCTTTTTTCATTCATTGAATATATATATGATTTTTAAATAATTGTGTTTCTCTTCACAGACACAATTGAAATTTCAGTCGATGACTATGCATACTAAAAGAAAGTGCATTTCATGATTTTTCTAGAATAATAAGGAAAGAATTGTTTTAGTTGGTAACTATAAAGCTGATCGACTCTCATTCGATTATTTCACAACGCTTATATAACAAACGTAACGAAAAGTATCAGAAGAAGAATATTCTTCACTTAATAATTCATACTATTGCATCTCCCAATGGCGAAAATTTTCGGCACAAGCTTTATATTATTATTCTATGTGCTACTTTTAGTGTAAGTATTAATTATCAAATTATATATATTACATACATTTTTTTAATCTTCTTCAACAATAGAAACACATCAGAGCAACAACAGCAGCTAAGTAATTAATAATAATGACTATTACTTTTCTTTATTTTCTTTTTAATTATTTCTTAGTTAACTCAACAACAACAGCAACATGTAATTTTACTGCATGCAATTCTCAACGAATATCATGTTCATCAAATCTTAACTGCGATTGTTTTTCATTAACATCCAATCTGAATACAGGAATATGTGCTTTAGCTACTCTCTCCTGTGAAAGTTTTGTACGATGTAATATGGATAATGTGACTTGTTCAATCGATAGTACAATCTGTGTGAATAGTACACGATGTGGTCAACCAATATGCTATCCATTACCTATGGCAAACAAACAAATTTGTCCACCAAAGACTGTTACAAGTAGAAAAAGATTTCTAATAACTATTTTAGTTTTATTTATTTTTTTATTCTCAAAACAGATACAACATTACACACAACAGTTCCAGGTAAAAAATTTTGTCTTGTAAATTTTAAAACGACTAGAACGAAAATAATTAGTGAATCTTATATAACTTATTTCTATCTTTCTATAGTACCTACAACAAGCACAACTAAATCTACAACAAAGAGTAAGCGTGATTTCATTATATTGTCTCTTTAAAATGTGTTCATATTGTGGCTAACTTATCTGTTTTGATTCAGTTACAACAACGACTCAAAAGCCTACAACTACCACCAAAAAATTAACGACAGCAACAACTACTAAAAAATCGACAACATTATCAACATCAACAGGTAAAATATGCATTATCGTTGTCACTGATTCTAGCTCATAGTTTTTTTTCTTCTTTTGCTTTTCAGTTCATTTCAACACTACAACTAGTCAATCTAATACAACCGGTAGTAAGTAATCAACTAATAATTTATCTGAACTAGCTTTGTAAACGTTTGAAATTGAATTTTATTTGTGATTTTTGTTCTTGATTGGAATGTGTAGCAACAACAATAAAATAGACTACTACTTCTAGAAGGAATCTTTATTCATATCTATCCCATTCTTCTAAGTTTATAGTGAGTTCTGTTTCGCATGGAAAATGAATTCCATGCATAATAAATTTAGATTTATATGAGTACTCGTTCGTAAATTTTTCAAATATTTTTCTCTACAGACTTGATAATTTTTGCTATTATCAATTATTTATTGAATAAAGGATATTGTGAAACATGACCTAAAAGAAATGTCGGAGTCTTTAGGGGCAGAAATTTGCACTCGCTAGTCACACCTACCCCAAACCCACACCCTGGTGATTTGGTCGCGTGAATTATCAGAAACTTCAAGATTAATCACTCATTCTCTCAATTAGTTCGTGTTTTATATCAGTTCCAGTAATAAATACTATATAGTCCTTTGCATACCTATGTATAGATCATTGAAAAAAAAATATTGTGAATAATTCACTGTTTTGATTGTAATATCCAGAGAAATATGAAAGAGCTGATGGGAAGTTTATGTTTTTTATTTTATTGAGTATCTTTCGAGTATAGCTTGCAAAATTTATAGAGAATCGAAAAACACATCCGCTAGTGTAATTATCATAGTGGTCAATTTGAGACAAACATCTTTTATATATTTGATTAAGATAACGGAGGAAGCAGAGAATATAGAAAACTGAAAATGTGATAATGATATGTGAAGAGATTTTGTACGATGCATCTGACTAGACATGTAGCGAACCCGAACGTTCGAGTTCGGTCAGTTCGGGTTCGGATTCGATTTTAGGGTTCGGGGGTAGTTTGGACCGAACTCTAACAATTTAAGCATCAAAATGGTTTTTTTGACATGTGTGGAAGCATAATTTCTATTAATATGTTTCAACATATATCAGAAATACCATTTTGATGCTCAAATTGTTGGAGTTCGATCCAAACCACTCCGAATCCGAACCCTAAAACCGCATCTGAACCCGAACTAAGTTCGGGTTCGGTTACATGCCTACATCTGACTACTATTATAGGTCTGCATAGGCTTGAGGTGATATAAAATAGACATATCAAAGACTGTCGGTTTTAGGATAATGAAGAGTGCTGTGCACAAGAGTAATAAATGTTGATTGTTTGATTATCTAATATTGTATTGACTAAATATATAAAAATATAACTTCTAGAATGGTTGTCTACTGGTAATATGATTAATGCACGAAATGGGCACACAGCATCTGTATTATCAAATGGAAAAGTATTAGTTACTGGTGGATGGACTGCTAGTATTGTTTATAATAGTGTTGAATTATATGATCCATCAAAAGGTACTTGGACAACTACTGGTAACATGACTTATGCACGAGTTTATCACACAGCATCTCTATTATCAAATGGAAAAGTATTAGTTACTGGTGGATCGAATGGTAATAATGTTTTAAATAGTGCTGAGCTGTATGATCCATTAACAGGTACTTGGACAACTACTGGTAGCATGATTAATACACGAGAGTATTACACAACATCTGTGTTATCAAATGGAAAAGTATTAGTTACTGGTGGATATGGTACTAGTGATTATTTAAATAGTGCTGAACTGTATGATCCATCAACAGGTACTTGGACAACGACTGGTAACATGAATAATGCACGAACTGGGCACACAGCATCTGTATTATCAAATGGAAAAGTA